TAAATTGTCAGCTGGGAGTGTCTATCCATCAAAATAAACAAACAATACCCTGAAGTAATTATTCAATAATATCAATGATTTCATTGAGGGAAAATAGCAGGACAGATTGAACCTGTTGATACTGGGAGTGAGAGAGGGAGTGAGAGTGAGAGAGAGAGAGAGAGAGAGAGAGAGAGAGAGAGAGAGAGAGAGAGAGAGAGAGAGAGAGAGAGAGAGAGAGAGAGAGAGAGAGAAAGAGAGAGAGAAAGAGAGAGAGAAAGAGAGAGAGAAAGAGAGAGAGAAAGAGAGAGAGAAAGAGAGAGAGAAGAGAGAGAGAAGAGAGAGAAGAGAGAGAGAGAGAGAGAGAGAGAGAGAGAGAGAGAGAGAGAGAGAGAGAGAGAGAGAGAGAGAGAGAGAGAGAGAGAGAGAGAGAGACCTCCTTACTAGTCTAATGCTAATGCCAAAAAAAAAAAACATGGGATTTTACACACTTAAAATACACCAAAACCTTTACTTCCAGGAAACCAACCTGATTAAGTTATCCCTATTAATATCAGACTCCTTGAAGACATGTTCGCGCATCCTCTCCATCTCCTCGTAGCGCTCATTGATGTCGTCCTCAGGAGCATTGGGATCGTACATCTTGTCGAGTTCCTTCTTGAAGAGGGCCTTCACCTCCATCTCATCCCAGTAACCATTGCCATCCAAGTCTACAAGAAAAAAAGATGACTGGTTATAAGCAACACCATAACTTAAAATCAATGGAAATAATGAAGGAAAAATCAGCAGAGAGAGTTATGACTTCCTATCTCTTCCCCCCCCCCCCCTTTCACTACTCACTTTACATATCCTAAACAAATTGCAATATATTACTGCGCACATACCATAAATTTGCCACTTACTAATGGATGGTACCACCTCATTAACAGACCCTGATATGGAGGACAACGAATTCACCATGTATGTATGGGTACTTACCGTGCAGGTGGAAGAAAGTCTTGGGGTCGAAGTCTTCCCGACGCATGTGGTCTTGCTCTTCCCAGACCTGGTGGAGTAAAATGTCATAAATAAGAAGGCCAGCTCAGCTACATGTATAAACCTTTTTCTCAATGTAGGCTGAGAGAGGATGTGCATGTACTCATTCACGTACACTTTCAATCACAGGCATAATACCTCTTCCAGCTGCTGTTTCGAGGCAGGGTGGTGCAGTTTTTCGTGGTCTCCGTGTTTTTTCATTTCCTCATTGTGTTTGTCTTCTGCTTGCTTGCGGTGCTCGTCATCCATGCCCGCTAGTTCCTGCTTCCTCTCAAATTCTTTCTCCATCTCATATTTCTTGAATTCCTCGCGCCTCTGCTGATCTACCTTCTCCAAGTCTGCTGTGGTCTGGTGATGTGACAAGCATTCAGTATTATTCTCTAATATTCAAATAGTTAAAATACTTCTCCAACCCATTTGGAGACTCTTTACTCTTTCTTTTTCTAATCTATCTAAATTTATTTTAATCTCTCTAAATCTATTACAAGTATGCTTAAGGTATAAGAGCAAATGTAAAAGATAAGAAGAAAGAAAGAAAGAAAATATACATATACATGTTGCACACAGACAAATATTTTCATACATTAGTATATACACATTATCCAATCTTTATTCAGAAAATACTAAATTTACAAATATAAATTCTTGGACTGATCCCCCCCCCATATACTATGAAATATTAAGTGAGACTATCTGGTGATAGGGTGATGATGCTCATCCCCTGTGTAGGCAAACACTCACCTTGATAATGAGTTTCTTTAAGTCCTCAACTTCAAACCGCGTTGGATTTCGATGGTCAATGTGGACAGGAATCTTCAGCATGTTACGGTCCACACCGGTTTCTTTTTCATGTTCCTGAAGATTGAAGAAAGTCTTACTTTTGGAGAACAAAGTTTTATTCTTTCCAAATGCTCTGGACGTAGCAATCCTTCCCTTGTTACGATTTTAGCAATATTTCAACTGGCATTTAATTTTCTCATTAGCTATATCCTTGTTTTGTTTTTTTCTGAACAAGGAAAAATCGAGTTCGTAAAGTGCTAGAGTCATGTCAAAACATAACCTAAACAAAATCAATTGATCAAAGATATTTCAAACAGATTCATTTGATCAAAGATATTTCAAACAGATTCATTTGATCAAAGATATTTCAAACAGATTCATTTGATCAAAGATATTTCAAACAGATTCATTTGATCAAAGATATTTCAAACAGATTCATTTGATCAAAGATATTTCAAACAGATTCATTTGATCAAAGATATTTCAAACAGATTCATTTGATCAAAGATATTTCAAACAGATTCATTTGATCAAAGATATTTCAAACAGATTCATTTGATCAAAGATATTTCAAACAGATTCATTTGATCAAAGATATTTCAAACAGATTCATTTGATCAAAGATATTTCAAACAGATTCATTTGATCAAAGATATTTCAAACAGATTCATTTGATCAAAGATATTTCAAACAGATTCATTTGATCAAAGATATTTCAAACAGATTCATTTGATCAAAGATATTTCAAACAGATTCATTTGATCAAAGATATTTCAAACAGATTCATTTGATCAAAGATATTTCAAACAGATTCATTTGATCAAAGATATTTCAAACAGATTCATTTGATCAAAGATATTTCAAACAGATTCATTTGATCAAAGATATTTCAAACAGATTCATTTGATCAAAGATATTTCAAACAGATTCATTTGATCAAAGATATTTCAAACAGATTCATTTGATCAAAGATATTTCAAACAGATTCATTTGATCAAAGATATTTCAAACAGATTCATTTGATCAAAGATATTTCAAACAGATTCATTTGATCAAAGATATTTCAAACAGATTCATTTGATCAAAGATATTTCAAACAGATTCATTTGATCAAAGATATTTCAAACAGATTCATTTGATCAAAGATATTTCAAACAGATTCATTTGATCAAAGATATTTCAAACAGATTCATTTGATCAAAGATATTTCAAACAGATTCATTTGATCAAAGATATTTCAAACAGATTCATTTGATCAAAGATATTTCAAACAGATTCATTTGATCAAAGATATTTCAAACAGATTCATTTGATCAAAGATATTTCAAACAGATTCATTTGATCAAAGATATTTCAAACAGATTCATTTGATCAAAGATATTTCAAACAGATTCATTTGATCAAAGATATTTCAAACAGATTCATTTGATCAAAGATATTTCAAACAGATTCATTTGATCAAAGATATTTCAAACAGATTCATTTGATCAAAGATATTTCAAACAGATTCATTTGATCAAAGATATTTCAAACAGATTCATTTGATCAAAGATATTTCAAACAGATTCATTTGATCAAAGATATTTCAAACAGATTCATTTGATCAAAGATATTTCAAACAGATTCATTTGATCAAAGATATTTCAAACAGATTCATTTGATCAAAGATATTTCAAACAGATTCATTTGATCAAAGATATTTCAAACAGATTCATTTGATCAAAGATATTTCAAACAGATTCATTTGATCAAAGATATTTCAAACAGATTCATTTGATCAAAGATATTTCAAACAGATTCATTTGATCAAAGATATTTCAAACAGATTCATTTGATCAAAGATATTTCAAACAGATTCATTTGATCAAAGATATTTCAAACAGATTCATTTGATCAAAGATATTTCAAACAGATTCATTTGATCAAAGATATTTCAAACAGATTCATTTGATCAAAGATATTTCAAACAGATTCATTTGATCAAAGATATTTCAAACAGATTCATTTGATCAAAGATATTTCAAACAGATTCATTTGATCAAAGATATTTCAAACAGATTCATTTGATCAAAGATATTTCAAACAGATTCATTTGATCAAAGATATTTCAAACAGATTCATTTGATCAAAGATATTTCAAACAGATTCATTTGATCAAAGATATTTCAAACAGATTCATTTGATCAAAGATATTTCAAACAGATTCATTTGATCAAAGATATTTCAAACAGATTCATTTGATCAAAGATATTTCAAACAGATTCATTTGATCAAAGATATTTCAAACAGATTCATTTGATCAAAGATATTTCAAACAGATTCATTTGATCAAAGATATTTCAAACAGATTCATTTGATCAAAGATATTTCAAACAGATTCATTTGATCAAAGATATTTCAAACAGATTCATTTGATCAAAGATATTTCAAACAGATTCATTTGATCAAAGATATTTCAAACAGATTCATTTGATCAAAGATATTTCAAACAGATTCATTTGATCAAAGATATTTCAAACAGATTCATTTGATCAAAGATATTTCAAACAGATTCATTTGATCAAAGATATTTCAAACAGATTCATTTGATCAAAGATATTTCAAACAGATTCATTTGATCAAAGATATTTCAAACAGATTCATTTGATCAAAGATATTTCAAACAGATTCATTTGATCAAAGATATTTCAAACAGATTCATTTGATCAAAGATATTTCAAACAGATTCATTTGATCAAAGATATTTCAAACAGATTCATTTGATCAAAGATATTTCAAACAGATTCATTTGATCAAAGATATTTCAAACAGATTCATTTGATCAAAGATATTTCAAACAGATTCATTTGATCAAAGATATTTCAAACAGATTCATTTGATCAAAGATATTTCAAACAGATTCATTTGATCAAAGATATTTCAAACAGATTCATTTGATCAAAGATATTTCAAACAGATTCATTTGATCAAAGATATTTCAAACAGATTCATTTGATCAAAGATATTTCAAACAGATTCATTTGATCAAAGATATTTCAAACAGATTCATTTGATCAAAGATATTTCAAACAGATTCATTTGATCAAAGATATTTCAAACAGATTCATTTGATCAAAGATATTTCAAACAGATTCATTTGATCAAAGATATTTCAAACAGATTCATTTGATCAAAGATATTTCAAACAGATTCATTTGATCAAAGATATTTCAAACAGATTCATTTGATCAAAGATATTTCAAACAGATTCATTTGATCAAAGATATTTCAAACAGATTCATTTGATCAAAGATATTTCAAACAGATTCATTTGATCAAAGATATTTCAAACAGATTCATTTGATCAAAGATATTTCAAACAGATTCATTTGATCAAAGATATTTCAAACAGATTCATTTGATCAAAGATATTTCAAACAGATTCATTTGATCAAAGATATTTCAAACAGATTCATTTGATCAAAGATATTTCAAACAGATTCATTTGATCAAAGATATTTCAAACAGATTCATTTGATCAAAGATATTTCAAACAGATTCATTTGATCAAAGATATTTCAAACAGATTCATTTGATCAAAGATATTTCAAACAGATTAATTCTAAAAACCATTACTTCTTCCCATACATTCTCTTTCGTTACGTTATCACAAACCAAACGACAGAATGCTAACCTTAATGTCATCCACTTCGGCGGTCTCTAATTTCTTCCTGAAGGAGGGATCACTCTCCAGAGCTTGCACCACCTCCTTAAGGTATCGACCGTACTCCAAGTTCAGCTCCTGGAGGCATAAAGTAGAAATACCATCAATCTTTCTGAAGTCGACTCCTTACTCCCCAAAAGGAAAAAAAGAGTTCTGAATACAAGAATATTATCATGAAATGGCTCTTTACCACAATTAAAAGTTTCTACTAACCCATTCCTCTCCATGTTCTTCAGCTTCCTTCTTCTCCTCCTCTTCCTTCTTGTGTTCTTCCTTCTTCTCCTTCACAGGGAGGGCATGGGCCAGGACCCCACATATTAGGATGAGTGCTAGGAGTAAACTCCACCTCATGCTATAATGAAGAAAATAATATTGGTTACACAGGGAACTCTGAAAACAACAGCTACAAGTTAGCTCAACATGTCAGTCCTTTTATATATGAAGAACTATGCATGTGTGTGTGTGTGTGTGTGTGTGTGTGTGTGTGTGTGTGTGTGTGTGTGTGTGTGTGTGTGTGTGTGTGTGTGTGTGTGTGTTGTGTGTGTGTATTTGTATGTATGTATGCTTGTATATATGTATGTATATATGTATGTATGCATGCATGCATGTATGTATGCATGTATGTATGTATGCATGTATGTATGTATGTATGTATGTATGTATGCATGTATGTATGTATGCATGTATGTATGTATGCATGTATGTATGTATGCATGTATGTATGTATGCATGCATACATACATGTATGAATGTATATACATCTAGGTATGTAAATACTTATGTATGTATGCATGCATGTATGTATGTAAGCATGCATGCATGTATGCATATATGTATGCATGTATATACATGTAGTTATGGAAATATATATGTATGTATGTATGCATGGACAAATGTATGTAAATATGGAGGAATGTATGTACATATGTATGCATATATGTTTAGATGTCTGTATGTATGCATGTATGTGTATGCATACACACATGTATGAATGTATATACATGTAGGTATGTAAATACATATGTATGCATGCATGCATGTATGCATATATGTATGCATGCATGCATATATGTATGCATGCATGCATGTATGGATATATGTATGCTTGTATATATATATGTAGGTTTGGAAATATATATGTATGTATGCATGTATGTATGTATATATGTTTATATATATGTATGCATGTATATGTGTACTACAGTTACCTGATTTAAATCACTGATATAAATCATGCATTAAAGAATATAATAATAATAACAAATCAATAAGCAAAAATTCATTAATCTATTGATGCTGGGAGTGTGTAATAGATTTATTTTTTACTTCATTAAGAAAAAGTCAAAGAGAGAAAGAAGAAAGAAAGAGAAAGACAAAGAAGGAGAAAGAAAAAGAGAAAGAGCAAAAGAGGGAAAGAGAGAGATGAAGACAAAGAGAAATAAAGAAAAGAGAAAGAGAAAGAGAAAGAGAGAGAGAGAGAAAAAGCCGCCAGATAGTCTGACAGTAAGACAAGTAGTCATGGTGACCCACAGCAAAATTCAGATCTGGCAAGTCACTTTCTGAGCTCCTAGTCACCTCAGTAAGTGGCCCAGTCAAGGTCTCAGTGAAAGCTTTTTTCCATGACTTGCCTTCCTATGTCTTGCAGCTATACTACCAATATATTTATTCGAGGAAGAACATTCACGGCAGTTTTCATGTGCGTAGTGGATTTACGTCCTACACAACTCATACTATGAACTTACATTAATATTTTTTTTCAGAGGAAGTACAAATATCAAGCAAACGCACTGTATTTCATAAATTTCATTTTCATATTCTTAGAGAATTTAGAATATGCAAATATCATCTTTTCATCATCTTAATACATCCCTACATGAAGAAATCTGCATCAACTTGATATGACTTAACACCTCCAAAAATTCTGTCTAGTCACCCAAATATGGATAAAAATAGCACCACCACTCACTTTCAACTGTTCACTCTAGTCTGGCAACTGTTTTGTCAGTAAACCACTCCAGTAATATCTTCAAATTACAGATCTCATTTCATAAATTGCTACTTAAACATATAAGTTTAATTTTAAGTTAATCCCAACTGGGATGGGTAGAGGGAATCAATTAAAATTTAATCAAAGACTAATTTTGAACACCTTTGAAACTAAAGAGTTACCTACTGGAAGATTAGGGACCTTGAAATTGATTAAGTATGGTCTGCCACTGAATGTCAAATATATGCTAGCTAATTGGGGCTCATCAGGGGGATGTATAAATTAACCACTAAAGTGATGACATGTTATAGATATTTTGTTCCTTTTTTTTTCTCTCTCTCTCTTTTTTTTCATATGTATATATACCTGGAGAGTAAGAGAAAGATAACATATATATATATATTTAGTTTTTCCTGGCATACTCTCCCACTCAATATGCTCTAAACCAATTAAAAATTTGGTAACACCGTAATTCAATTTTCTCCGCTTTCAGCAGCCTCTGCTCTACTGATGTCCTCAGCCTGTAATTCTACATTTATCTTTGGAATTAATTAATACCACTCAGCTTTGAAGGTAGACCAATCTAAAATCCTGCTGCACTATTTGATAGGCAATTAACATACACAAAAGTCTAGCAATATGTGGAAACATATGATCTTGGGGGAGAATGCCAGCATAAATCCCTCTGGCATAGAGTCACAGGACAGTTTAATATTTAATTGCTTCTATTAGAGCCAACAGTATAATTAGAGGTAGTTGATTGGAAGACATCCGGGTCTTTTGCTCATAAACATATTGTCTCCGCCCTAATCCATCTGAAACTTCTATGGTAGATGATCTACTGGGACAAAGTCTCAAGTAATCACCCTTACCTCTACTCTCCATATACATATTCCCACAGGATCACAACAGACACTGGTGACCAATCTAATTGAGACAATAAGATTTGTGATAGATAATCACCTGACAATAGAAGCTGTGCCCAAGGGATGTCAAATTGTAATTCAAAACAGTTCGGCCATGGTTAGGATGTGTATAAAGTATTGTTTCGCCTTTAATATGGAAAATATCATGAAAATAATGTAAAAAAATTGGCAGATGTTTTACTCTGCAACTTCTGTGACATCGATCATGCCCTCCCCAGTTATCAGGGCCTATCTCATTGCTGTGCTTCATTAGCAAAGAAAACGCGAGCTAGATTCATTCGATGCACAACAAGAGCTCTTAGAACAACATAGTTTTTACCCAGAAATAGGTGTTGGACAGTCATTTCAAAATTCACCCTCATCTGATACACTCAATGCTATGCACTTATTCCAGTATCACTTGAATGGGTCCCTAAGGCTATCCAATAAGGAAAAGTTAATAAAAATGCCTAAATCATCATCTACGACCTTATTTATGACAATTCACATGAAAACTCATGAGATAATCAACATTTGGCATTGCATTCACCTGAGTGATACTAAAGAAACTAATAATGACCAAAAATCCTTCACAAATATCAAAACCACAAAAGTCATTAGAATACATAAGAGTATTAAGACCTATGTTGTTTTCTTTCATTCTAAAGTGATTTACATATAGCTGTCAATTCCTTAAGGTACCATATGCTTCATACCATTTTTTTTTTAATCACAGCAGAAAAAATACATATTAACATAAAAAAAATAGACAAATAAACAAACATACGAGAAAACACAATTGAAATATTAATTCACAAAAAAATGACCAACCTTCTGCACTAATACGAGCTGGAAATCACAACCCAATCACAACCCACTTCTCTCTGGCGTGTTCTTCGGTGTGAGTGAACAAGAACACGTCACACCAAAGCAAGAAAATAAACTTAACCTTCAATTTCTTTTTTTTTTTTTCTTTCTGTTTCCTGTACTTCCTCCGCAGTGACACGTAGCCTAAAACACGTGTTCTTTTTTCGAATTACCTTGCAAATTTACGCCCACGACTCTTATCTCCCTCTTCTAATGGGCGTTAAAGGTCTTGTAAATCTCAGCAAGTTGTCGGAGAGCAAACATTTACAGGGAAAAAAGGAGAGAAAATAAGGAAGACTTACGTGTTTGACAGGTTGTTGTTTTCCTCCTTTCAACACTGCGTTCGAAAACCTCCCCCAAGAATAAAAAAATAAATGACGAAGTGGAAATTTTAGATATATGTCAATTGATATGAATGAACATGTTTCTAACACTATAACATAATTTTTCATCTAAATGATTTCCTTTTTAGAGATGATCATCTATTTTTTAACGATAGATGTGGATGGGTAGTCGAACTCGATGACGTCATCCTACCCTGACGTCATTCCTACCATGACGTCATTCCCACCATGACGTCACCGCCAGCACTTGCAGCCATCCGGTCTTGAAAAGAGTTTTTAAGAATTTATTAAACACCCATTTATTCCCCTCGCCGTGGGAAGTGTCAAGGCAATCCGTCCAGCGCAGGAGACCCACACCAGCTCGCCCACCTCTGCCAATCATCCCCAAAAACCGAGGAAAACGCCCCAGAGAAGGGAAATAATATAAACGAAAGGATTTTTTCACGAGTTAATCATTCCAAGGCGCTCGTGACGTGAGGCTGAATAATCCCAAACCCTGTGGCTGGGTTGTTCATCACTCCACTCCTCCACTTGTTCATCACTCCACTCCTCCACTTGTTCATCACTACGACCCTGTGGCTGGGTTGTTCATCACTAATTCCTCCTCTTGACACACGGCCCCTGGAATATCGCCCGGGGAGGAGGTAAGGAAAATATACAGTGTGTTTTGTGTTGTGTTGTGTGTCAGAGCTGGTGATCCTGTTGTATGGAATGAGGGAGAAAGAGAGGGAGGGAGAGAGAAAGAGAGAAAGAAAAGGGGTATGGAGGAAGAGAGAGAGAGAGAGAGAAAGAGAAAAAGGGGTAAGTTTTAAGGGACAAGGAAAGGGGTGGGGGTGGAGAAAGAGGGAGAGAGAGAGAGAGAGAGAGAGAGAAAGAGAAAAAGGGGTAAGGTTTAAGGGACAAGAAAAGGGGTGTGGGGGGGATTTTTTTCTTTTCTTTTCTTTTCTTTTCTCTTTGCAGGGAAGGAAGGAAGGAAGGAAGGTGTGTGTGTGTTAATTGCTCAGGTAATTTCGTGTTTAATTTGGTATATTCGTCGAGGTGTTTCTGTAGGTTTGTGTCCGTCTATGTCTGTTTTTTGGAAGGAGGAATTTTGCTTAGATAATTTTAACTGTGTAGATGTAGAATTTCTCTGTGTGAAGAGAGAGAAAAGTAAAGTTGTAGCCTCAATGGACGCTTAAAAAGATGTAATTACCTATGAGAAATAGTCATATATTAAAGGTAACGTCGGAATTGCTCATTAAAGCAAGCCAATCAAAAGTTTTCGCAGCAACGTCCTGTGCTGTTGTGGCATGGGGCAGGTACACAGGCTAGGGCAAGGACGACCTCCCAGGTGTTTTATCGTCTACTGAATAATGAGAACAAGTACTTGCTTGCTGAATACGAGTGAGGAGGATTTGTATATTTGATAGTTTGAACATTACTGTTAAATGTTATCCTGTCTTTGTTTAGAATTGTATTTTTAGAATGCGAATGTACAGTTTTGCTTATAAAATGAGTAGTTAATTTGGAAGTTTGTAACCTTATTAAGAGAAGATTGAACAAAATAGCTCAGTAATAGCCAATGCTATAAACACACAACTTCTTGCTCTGGCAAAGACCAACACATTTATTCTTGTATATTGGCATAGTAGAACATGGACTAATTTCACTTATGAGGATATATTTGTGGGTCTTTAACGAAGCACAGTTTAGAGCTGCCCAGATATTTAGGTGCCATTTAAGTTTTCACCAGCCACCTTTTAATAAGGCAAATAGTATGTGTAAAAGATAGAGGAAAGAACTCTAAGAAACTTAACTTCTTTGTACTTGTATTGCAAAATCAAAAAGGACAAGTCATTTGACGCACAGGTAAAAGAGAGCCTGTAAAGAAAGCTGATATTTATTAGCTGATGAGAAATATGGTAAAGAATATTCATACACATGATCAGGGATGTTCATATAGATAGTTTATACATTACTGTTAAATGTCATCCAGTTTTTGTTTAGAATCGTATTTTTTAGAATATGAATGTAGAATTTTACATATAAAACGAGGAGTAGGTAATTTGGAAGTTTGTAAGCTTATTAAGAGATGATGGAACATAATAGCACTCTAATAGCCACTGTTATAAACACACTACTTCTTGCTCTGGCAAAGACCAATAAATATTTTCTTATATACTGGCATAGTAGAGCTCGGACTAATTTCATTTATAATGATAAATAACCTAAATATATCTGAACCATTGCTGGAGTGCGAGGTATGTAGGAGCCATGCTGTCTATAGGTGTGTATAGGCTGTCTGTGATTTTTCCTAAGCTATTAATGTTATTACACAGGTTATTTATGACCATTATACTATTTTTTCTCAGTCTCAAATAATTTCACTTTGCATAAATATAGTAGTGAAAAAAAATTTCTGGTCTTTTCTGAGGATTTAACAATTTAATTCAGTATGATATTGACACAGTAGTTCCCCCTAAGTTGGCCCCTTCACTGTACCTTGGGTAGAAGCTATATACAAATAATTATATTATTTCTTTAAGCAGGACCTTATGAATTATTATAGTGTTCATGAAATAGGTTTTGTAATGCATAGTTTCATCAGTGCTAAACATGCATATTATATTTACTGACAGGCATTATTTACTTTTTATTATAGATAATAAAAGATATCTCTCAATCTATATTTCGAACCTACCGTTATTTTTCTTTCATGTACATGCTTTCACATGTATTTATTTATTTATTTATTCATTTATTTATTTATTTATTTTTTTAAAGCTGAAATACTTATTACCTTCACTCAACTTTTTCTGGGCATTTCCCAACTAATATTTAATTTCTCTTTTAAGAAATGAACAAATAAGAAATTAGCAAAGAATCCGCTTTAGAATCGTTCTTGGCTCCCTTCTAACACAGCTAACACTTGAGTCTGATGTTCTGAACATAGATTATTACTGCTTATATTCTACAGTAGTTTTGGCTGCAGTTCTTTTTGTTGGTCAGATTTTGGATTTTGAGGATCAGAATCTTGTGGTTTTCAGGAGTGGCAATCCATGAAGTTCTTCAGTGAGTGTGTGTGTGTGTGTGTGTGTGTGTGTGTGTGTGTGTGTGTGTGTGTGTGTGTGTGTGTGTGTGTGTGTGTGTGTGTGTGTGTGTGTGTGATATATGTATATATTTATATATATAAATGTGTATATATGTATATATGTATGTGTATATTCATATATGTATATAGATAGGGAGCTAGATAGATAGATAGATAGATATAGATATGTATGTGTGAGTGAGTGAGTGGGTGAGTGTGTGTGTGGAGGGGTGGTGATGATGACCTGTCAGTACATTATGCTAATTTGCAAGGAAAGGTTATCTTGAGGGAGAAATGCAATCATTATCACACATTAAGGGTTTCACAGATTTGTTGTATTAAGAAAGTGAGTTATTATTATCCCATTCACGCCGGGTGTCATGTATAAGTGACGGGCCCACTGTGAGTTTACTTGTTTAATTGTTTTCACACATAGATGGCTGCACTTGTACTTGCATTGCCTGTGTCGCCTGTTTACCCTTTTCTTTAATTTACGAAACTATTATACGTTATCTTATTTTGCTGTTACTAATGTTCATAACATTATAGTAATTATAATGTTTATAATAAAAATAACCATCGATATTCATAGCACTATTAAAAATTACATTTTCCCGCCAAATGAAATCAGGTAAGGCAGAGCCAACTTGTGTAGAGAAATTTCACAAAAAGTAAAAAAAAAAAAAAAAAAAAAAAAGCACAGCATTTTCCCCCATTTTTTGTTCATTTTTACCCGCTGCGAATGGGTTAATTCTACATATTGTTTTAATGCAGTTGTGCAGTCCTGCATAGCATACAATATTTATATACCTCACATAGTATTACAGTTGATAGAGATCATAATCTATTTTGTATTTTGTTTATTGTCACCTCAGGATTTTTTTGGTACTTTATAATGGACCTATTCAAATTCAAAAGGTTATTTTCATCAGAAAGGGAATAGCAAGTACTGAGAAAGAAGAAGCTTTTTGTGCATGAGTTACGAAGTGCATCGTTTTCCCTAGATGAGTTCCGAAACCCCAGAGAAGACTCCACCCACCCGCCCAGCCCCTCCAACGACCCTCATGATGAACACAGAGGCGGCCTCGCAGGAGGAAGAGTTCGTGAAAACATACCGAGAGGCCTACAAGTACATCGACCATGGGATCACACTGGCCACGCAGAATATGCACACTCAGGTCAGCAGTTTGGGAGTCTTGCTTGTGGGTTGACGTGTAGTATGGGGGGTTTGTTTATTCATACATTTTTTCTTTGTTCATTGTTTATTGCCTGTATATTGTATGGAAATCTATGGAATTTTGCTGATTTTTATTTGTAAGTTTTATTTTGATCTTTTGCCTCCCATGATGTTAAGTTTAATTGATTTTATATATCTAAAGAATATATGAAGCAAGGTTTAAAGGCCAAGATCTATTCATAACAATAGAGTCCAATTATCAGACAAAATGAGATAACTATCAAGTAAGATATAGGTGTATTTAATTCTTAACGTATATATAAATGTGTTTTTCTTCTTCATCTTTCTTTTCTTTTTTCTTTTTTGATGGTGTTGTACATGTTTAAATTTTGCTTTTAACCCTCTTATTTTCTATTGGGTTCCAAATCTTTGCTTTCTCTTTTAACTGGTCGGATACAACCTAAATATGCAGTGTCAAATATGCAGCCTGAGGACTACTTAAGACCTGTCATACTCTTGAATAATGTCCCTTATGCTGCTCCAACTATACTCTGTTTTATGTGATTTAAGTGGCCATTTACCTTATAGGAATATCACTTACATTTCTAATAACATACTCAGTGAATTTTTACCACTGAAATGATGACAAGACTACAAAGTTATAAGTTACAAAGGGGCAGTCTTTTATAGTAAGGCCTGCATGACATCAGAAGAAGAAGCACTTAATTTTCTTTCGTAAACATCTTTTAGTGAGCATGACAGTAGGATAAACCTCCCATCCTTATATTGTCATATAAGCATACTACAGCTCATAGACTAGTTACTGTGTATTTAATATGAGCCACATTCCGTGTACTCATGTTGGGTGTATTGTAGTAAATGAGTGTGACACCTCTGTCCTAATTAGAAGTAAGTGAGATAGATTGTTTTCTTTGAAACTCATATACAAAGGAAGTGAAGAAGACATAAGAAATGCATATTTATTATGAACCATTCATTTTCTAAATAACTTTAATTTCGTGTTTCTTCTATTTCTTCTCCTATTCATCTTCTCTCCTTTTCTTCTTCTTCTTCTGGTTCTTTCTTCTTCTATCTTCTATCTTCTTTCTTCTTCTTTCTCCTCCTCCTCCTCCTCCTCCTCCTCCTCCTCCTC